AAATATATTTATTTATTTTTAGAAAGAGGGGAAGAGAGGGAGGGAGAGAAACATTGATGTAAAAAACGTTAATAGGTTGCCTCTCATCTGTGCCCCTACCACAGACTGAACCCACAACCTAGTCCTGTGCCCTGGCTGGGAATTGAATTGATGGCTTCGCTTTGTGGGACAATGCCCAATCAACTGAGCGACACTGGTCAGAGCGACGGCTCCTTTTCCAACTTTTAATTACGGAGATCTTCAGTCATCCACGGGGTTGGGGGAGGGAGCAGAATAGCACAGCCACCTTCCACGGACACTCCCCCAGCTATCGCCATGTTGTTAGTTCTGACCCATGTGTATCTTTCTCTTCCGCTTCCCTTATCCCATGTTATTTTGAAACGAATGCCAAACATTATTTCATCTGCAGTCATTCAGTACATAGCTCTTAAAGGTAGGGGCATATTTAATTAACGTAACACTGATTATAAAACCAAACAAAAAATGAACAATTCTTTAATATCACCAAACCACCAATGTTTGAATTTCCAGTTACCTCATAAGTGTTATGTGTATGTTATTTTTACATTTGTTTGTGGCAATCAGAATACAAATAAACTCCACATACTCTGGCTGATTGATATGTCTTTTCTGTCTCAATTTACAGTTTCCCCTAAGTGTAATTTTTAAGTTGGAATGCATTAGGTGAAGACACAGTTGTCCTGAAGAGTTTCTCACAGGACGGATTTTGCTGACTGCATCTCTGAAGTGTTGATTAACATTTTGCTGTCTCTTGTATTTTCTGTAAATGGATCAGTGTTGTTGTTGGATCTATGTTTAATTGCTTCTTTCCATTGTTCTATCTTCAAGTTCACTGATTTTTTCCTCTGTCTACTCTGTTCTGCTGCTGAGCCCATCCAGAAAGGTTTTAAATTCAGTTACTGCATCTTTCAGTTCTAAAATGTCCCTTTGGTTCTTTATCTCTTTGCTGAGATTCACTGACCCTAGGCTATCATCTAAATGATATATTTTAAAATGTGAAAACATGGCCCGGACCAGTGGCTCAGTTGGTTGGGTGTCATTCTGCAAAGTGAAAGGTCATCTGTTCGATTCCTGATGGGGCACGTGTCTGAGCTGTGGGTTCATTCCCTAGTCAGGGCATGTACCAGGGGCAACTCATCAATGCTTCTCTCGTACATTGATGCTTCTTTCTTTCTACTCTCCTCTCTCTAGAAATAAATAAAATCTTTTAAAACATGCGAACACACGGTAGAGTGGCAGAATGTGGTAGTCAGCCCCCAAGGTGGTTCCTAATCATCCCTGTCTCCTAGTCTCCACACCTCTGAATTCTGCCAGGGTTAGTTTGTGTAAACCAACAGCTCATGGCAGAAGTGATGGCACACAGCTTCTGAGATTAGGTTATAAAATACTGAAGCTTCTGTTGTGGGCACCTTCTTTCTCCCAGGCCCACATGCTCAGGTCACTTGCTCTGGAGCAGTGAGCTACCCTGTGGTCAGGAGATTCAGGCGGTCTTCAGAGGTGTCCATGTGGCGGGAAACTGGTCTGCAGCCACCAGCCATGGAGGAACTTGCTACCTGGGACATGTACCAGGGAACTGCTACCTTGCTACCTGGGACATGAGCGTATTTAGAAGCCTAACCTCCCCCAGCTGAGTCTTCCGATGAGTCTGAAATTCTGGCAACGCTTGGATGCAGCCTCATGAGAGACTCGGAACCAGACCCATGAGCTTGGCTGGCTCCAGATTCTGACTCACAGAAACTAGAAATTTTCTTTTTAATCATCACCTGAGGAAATGTTTATTGATTTTAGAGAGACAGGAAGGAGGAGGGAGGGAGGGAAAAAGAGAAAGAGAGAGATTGATTGGTAGCTTCTCATATTCCCCCTGACCAGGGATCAAACCTGCAACCTTTTGTGTGCGGGGCAGTGCTCCAACCCGCTGAGCCACCCAGCCGGGCCAGCACAGTAATTTTTTTTTTTAAAGCTGTTTGGTTTTACAAAATTTGTTATGTAGCAGATCACTAATACATCGGGGTTTGCACCTGGGTCCCCGCTCAACCACTTTCTAAAAGATTCAGGACAAGGCGAACGAGTCCGTCAGCACCAGTTTCTTTGCTTGGACGCTGATGATCATTTTTGCCTTTCCTACCTTTCAGGGTTGTTGTGAGTCCCACCAAAGATAAAACATTATACAACCATTAATTTTTCAAGCCTAACCCCCCTATTTTACAGATGAACACGGGAAGCCAAAAGGAGTAAATAGAGTGACTGATGAGACATTCAGGTGCAGAGGAATCACACTTTTCCAGGCTTCGGCTGCTTAGGAAAGGAGCAAAGACTGAAGTGCCGGGTGCTATTTTCATTAGGTAGGCACTCCACGCTTCAGGAAAACAGGCAGCAGGTAAACTATGGGTTGGATGTGGTTAACTAAGAGAACTGCATTTCCTCTATGGCACATGACAAATGTGGAATAAATGCACGGGCGTCAGAGGTGTTCCAGTTCAGTTCTCTCTCATGGAGCCGGCGCAGTCACTCCTTCCTTCACTCTTTGTCGCTCCGCCAGCCGTGCCCACACGCTGAGCCTACACACGGGCACCCAGCCAGATGACTAATACCACCTCTTTGCACCCAAACCCAGTGTATTAGGCAAAGAGCTCCTTTCTTTAAAAGCCTGCTAGGTAAGTTGGTGTCAGTATCTTTAAACTACAAATACTCCTTTGTTATGCAATTTCAGTAAAAAAAAAAAAAAAGTTGACTGAGAGAAAAGAGACTAACAGTATTTTGAACCAACAAGGGCAGATCATTTGGGTAAGTGATTCATCTCAATAGGGTTCAAACTTTTTTAATTAAAATTTTTTTTTTTTTTTTGTCAAAGAAGAATTTTTGTAAACCACCTCACCTTCTGCAAACCACCTCACCTTCTGCAAACCACCTCACCTTCTGCTTTCCCCTCAACTTCAGTCTCCTCATAGGGGAGAAAGTGAAGTTTTAAAATGTTGAAAAGAATCAGATAAATAAAAACGGGTATGTTCACTCTAACTGGAAGGAAAACTGCAAACATAAAATAGTTGTGTTGGAGTAGCAGGATCAACTTTTTTATGCATTCCTACTTTTAATTTTTAAAAATGTTTAAAAATAATATATATTTTATATATACTATGTAGTAACATATTTTATATATAATTGATATTACACATTTACATTATATTTTTAATTTAAAGATGCAAATTTTATACAACGTCTGTCTTGCTAGAGTGGGATTCAATAGATTTTTCTGGATTTAAAAAATAACTAGTTATGGTTTAGTTTTTCACCCTTCATGTGTATCAGTTACATTCTTTAGTCGCAAGCAGCAGAAGCTTTCTCTGACTTGGACAAGAGGAGAATGTATTGGGAGAGTGAGGGAGAGAGGCTGCGACCCGCAGGCGGCCCCTGTGAGCGTCTACCCCACGGAGCCCAGGGCCCTGCGCTGGGGTACGTGAACACTCGCCGGCTGTTTCTGCTTCCTCTGTGTTTGGTCCCTGGGTGTAAGGAGCAAAGTCCTTGCAGACTGAGGTTTTGCTTGGCCAAAGACGTGCCAAGCTAGAATGTCCTGAGCTGATGAACTAAAGAGGAAGCCAAAAGGAATCTGCCTGGTCCCCTTCCATTTCCCCATGGAAGAGCAGAACACTTTGAGGATCCCACCTCAGCCCTCAGCAGCGGGCAGGGAGGGAGTCATCCGAAAGGACACAAGAGTACTGATTGGGAGGCCCAATGTCCACTAAATTGCAGGTTTGTTCTCACCACTGAATGAGAAGTTTGTAAGAGCATGGACTGTCTGCCACATGTGTTTTAGATGGACTCACTTACCAGCACTAGCTTTGGGCATGACATTTTGCTGTGATATTTTATAAAACTAGATCTAATATCTACACTTACATGAATCAAGTCCAATCCTCCTTTAATCATCCATTACCAATGCCTAGAACTGTGTTTCTAGGCCCTCCTCCCAGCCATTCTCTCTTGTTTTTGCCTCCTTTTGATGGCCAACCCCCCACAGCTTTCCCTGAAGCACGTTGTGTATTATTCAGTGTAACCTAAGTGGTTTTACACACACACACACACACACACACACACACACAGAGTCTTCCATACCTTTGCTACCCTAGACTTTGACAATTGCCATACCTGTCTTTTCAGACAGATGCCTGAGATGATCTGCAGAGCCAGGGGGCTAATCCAGCTCAGGCTGCCTGGGACGGGCTGAAGGGGATTGAAGGACCCTCTGTTGACCCTTCTCATGAACTTTTCTCGTTATACCTCCATTATAATACTAAAATCTCCTCCTGGAGCGGGGGCGGGGGGGCGGGGTGGAGATTTTCTGCCATTTTTGCACATGTGATGTATGTAGAGGCACGTTTGCTAACTGCGCAGGCACGGGAATGTCCCCACTCACACATGTGATGACGAAGCAAACCTTGATGTTCGTGCACGGTTTCCTTGAATAAAGGCAAACCCAGCGCTTGGTCTGGGGGCGCGCGGCCCTGGGAGTGTCCCCAGCGTGCCCTGTGCGGCTGCCTTGTAATCGAGTTCCTTCTCATAAAGCTTGGGGTTGTCTTTGGCTGGTAACTACGGACTAACTAGACCCTGCTTGGGTCCGGTAACAATAGCTGTTACATAAATACAAAAAGGGAAGGGAACCTACATGTTTAAGAACTCCTGGTTAAACCCAAACTACAAGTCGAAGTTTGTCTAGATAGCTAACAGGTTATTCTGCTCTGTGTTGAGGATCTTACTTGAAGATCCTTAGAGATAACCATTAAACCGCATATCCTTCGGAGATGAATTCCACACGGCTTTCAGACACAAGTGGTTTAAATGCATTTTTGATAGAGGTGAAAGTGTCAAAAATTTTATTAATGATCCGTTTTAAAAGCTTTATACCCGGGGTACACCAATACGTAGGAGTGCTGCTTCTTAAAGAATTTGCCCTTTGGGGTTTGGTCCTTGGAGCTTTGGTATTTTTATGTTAAGAGCTTTAAGAATTCAGGATCTTGGTCCAGGGATGGCGATATTATGCCATTTTCTTCTTCCTTTAGGGGAGAACAGACGAGCTCTCAACACATTATTCCCACACAATTGACTCCCTAACATGTTCTGTGGATTAGAATTTGCTCTAAATTAGCCTCGAGGTTCCCTCAGAGGAGAATTTGAAGGAGGAAAGCATGGAAATACTTCTTGAGATGGATCTTAAATGCAGGTGTTCTATGTGTATATGATAAAACATACACATCCTAAAATTTAACATCCCGGGTCATCTTTAAGTGGACAGTTCGGTGCCATTGAGCACATTCACCTCGCTGTGCAGCCCCCACCGCCATCTTTCAAGACGCAAATCTCTGCTCATTATGTGACCCCCGCCCTCCCGGCCCTTGCAGCCCCGGAAACCAGCACCATCTGTCTGTCTGTCTGTCTGTCTGTCTGTCTCTAGGAGCTGGACCCCTCTAGGTCTCTCATACAAGTGGAATCTCACAGTAGTTGTCCTTTTGTGTCCAGCTTATTTTAAGTGCAGTTTGATTCACGGAATACTAGCTTTTCTGTGAGTGAGGAGACCATGCGTGCAGCTGGTCCTTCTGGGTCAGAGGCCTTCAACCAGGAGCTCTTAGCTGAGTCCTATGGCTCCAAACCCTCTGTAGGGGACAAGTCTCCTAACTACAAGGTTTTCCTAGAAACTTTAAATTCAAAAGACGCTAATCACTGTTCTGGGTCTTCTCGGCTTTGAGAGCATCCGCTTGGTCGCACACCAAGATTAGCTGCCTCTGGCCAGTAACATCCACTGCCCTACTTACTGCATGGCTCTGGATTTTGCTGACAAATCAATTTTGACACCTAACAGAGTATCACTTACTCTGTGAGCCCCTAGCCCTGTGCTTACCTGGCCACTTAAGAACTTTGAGCTGACCTTCCTCATTTGAAAAATATCTAACAAAAATGCAAATCAAGACCACAATTAGATACCACTTCACACACACGAGGGCGGCTATGATAAAAATAAAAAGAAAGTAAGTATTGGTGAAGATGTTGAGAAATGGGAATCCTAGTGCACTGCTAGTGGGAATGTAAAATGGTATATCTACTGTGGAAAACAGTAGGTGGTTCCTCAAAAATTAAAAATAGAATTACTGCCCTGACCAGTGTGGCTCAGTTATTTGGAGCATTGTCCCATTGACCATAACATCGTGGATTCTGTCCCCCGTTGGGCTTTTACAAGAAGGCGATCAATCGATGTTTCTTACATCAATGTCCCTCTGACTCTCTCTTTCTACCCCTCCTTCCCTCTCCAAAAAAAAAAAAAAAAAAAAGCAGCAATGAAAAAATGTCCTCAGGTGAGCATTTAAAAAAAATAAAAATAAAAATAAAGAATTACCAAATTATCCAGCAATTCCACTTCTGGGTTTATACCCAAAGGAATTGAAAGCAGGAACTTGAACAGGTATTTTCACTCCCATGGCATAGCAACAGTACGCACAATAGCAAAAAGGAAAACAACCCCAGTGTCCAATGATGCCTTAATGGATAAACGAGATGCGGTATATCTATACCCTAGAATATTCTTTAGCCTTAAGAAGGGAAGACATTCTGACTTACATAACATGGTTGAACCTTGAAGACATAATGCTAAGTGAAATAAGCCAGTCACAAAGGGACAAATACTGTTTGATTCCACTTAAATGAAGTGCTTAGAGTAGTCAAATTTATAGGGACAGAGAAGAAAATGGTGGTGACCAGGGCTTGGGGGAGGGGCAGTAGGGACTTAATGTTTAATGGGTTTGGAGTTGTGGTTTGGGAAGATCAAAAAAGTTCTCATAGGGGCAGCAGGGATAGTTGCACAGCAATGTAAGAGTGCTTAACGCTCCCACGCTGCTTGCTTAAACAGTGGTTACAATGCTGAATTGTATGTTATGCATGTTTTATCACAATAAAAAAGTTTTACAAAACATCTAATGTTATCTGATTATTATTTCTGGCTCCTGCAGAAAACTTAGAAGCCTTTTGCAGAATTCTTCCCCAAATACCATAGTCTAGACACAGGCAAAACCCAGGAAGCAGCAAAAGCGGTTTTTCAAAAGCCAGGCTTGCCTTAATAGCCAGGCATTTTTCAATAAAAAGCCACTTGAGCATCTTATCTCCTCCAGTACTACTGCCCTGCCCCCCCAAAAGTCAAGTAGGGAAAAAAGTAAAATTTGAAACCAGAGGCACCAGGACAAGCTTCTGTGGGATTCGAGCAGTTTCCAGGATCCGGGAGCTGCTACTCAAAGGCGGTGCACGCGCCACGGTGGGGGAGGAGCTCAGAGCTAAATCCCAAGAGCAGTGCCTCCCCAGCTCCCAACTTCTGGTCCCCGGCCTCACCGCGGCAGCAAAGTCACCTGCCAGGTGACTGCTTGCTGAGGTGGCCCGCTAGGTGTCTGGACACTCCTTTATATTTGAAGTCACCTACCTCAGAGAAGTGGTTCTCGATGATGCTCTGAGCGGCCAGGGCCACCTGATGGTTGTCGTGAAATTGCAAAGCCTTGATTCTATCAAGCCCACCAAGTTCCTCGATCAGAAGACACAGGGATTCCTTCTCGGAGAGCTTCTCTGTCGCCTGGGGGCGGGAGGAGAGAGCGAGGCCCGGGCCAAAGCCCGAAGGGGGCTTCCCCAGCGGAAGCCCAGGGAGGCTCCGGGCCGGAATGTGCAGTCGCAGCTTCACGTCCCCCTCATGGATCGAGACCTGCCCGGTCTTCCTCCCACCTTGAATATTTATGTTATATATACTTAAGTTTCTCTTCATTGCAAAAATACAGTATTTCTTTTGCTGAATATTCTACCATCCGTAAACACATCACCGCCACTATTGAGTAGCTATCTCTCCTCTAATGAATGGAAGTTGTTGTCAGTAACAGTTCATAGAATGTTCAAGCAATGCTATGTCGGTGCAGCTCTTCTGGCCCTGCACTCTGAGGCCTGGGAAGGTGAGACCGGAGACCCTCAGTAACAAAAGCTACACCGTGGCCAATGATACAGGCGCCGGAAACAAATGACGTGAGAACATTTAATCCAAAGCTGGTCACCGATTTATCATCGGGGCTATTCATTCACTCACACGGGTAACACATACGATGGGCGCGGCACGCATAAGAGATGTGATTTACAGATTTGTGTTTTGTAACTCCTACCCTCGGGGAAGACAAGTAAATAATTGTTACGGTGCAGAAGGTAAAGTACCCTGTATGACCAGAGTTTGGAATTACAGAAGATGTGCACGGAAGGCTTGGAAGGGGACACAAGCGCTTAATGAACAATACGGGGCCCAGTCAATCAGTAGTGACAGTCCCAAAACAAGGAACGGCCAGGACCAAGTGTGGCAGGAATAAGGGCTGCGTGCTATGAGAAGAGGAAATAGTTCCTAAATGGCACGATTTGCCTGATGACAGTTTGCACCGTATGTCTAAGCCTTGACCACCTCCGGTCCTACGAGTTACTGGATTTGAGGGAGGAAAGCAGAACCCAACACGCTAGAGCAGCCTCCGGAAGGAAACCAGGCCGCGGCAGCAGGAGCCCTGGCCAAGGATTTTGGACGCAAACAGTCAATGGCCCCAAAGTCACTTCAAAGAGCCTCAGCTATGCTCTGCTGCCCATCTGCAGTTTTTCCTGTCTTGTGTTGATCTCTCTAACCTTCTGTTCCAAGCACCTCTATCTGCCACGGGGGCTTCACTGGCACATCAGATATGATTTGCCCAGACTCTCCAAGAAAGCATCCCAAGTGCGTAATCTAAGCGAAGCAGGTAAAATTACATTTCCATAGCCCAAATTTGCCTTTACAGATTTGTCATGTCCAACTCAGTCTATCAGCTGCTGAGTCTCTACTTTCTGTCTGTGTGATTCACTTAAAGTCATGCGTCTGGCTGGGCTGTGTGTCAAATCTGTCCTTGACTCAGGTGGGTTCTTCCCAAGACAGTTACACAAAGAGGGTGCTTAAAGTGAGTTTTCAAAAGGAACTCCCTGGTGCTACTTTGAAACTTTTCAAATGGCTTAGTTATATACACAAGGGGTATATAACCAAAATGGCCCCTGGTGATCCCTGCCCCCAGTATTCAAGCTCTTGGGTTGGTGTGAATGTTACCCAGGGCTGATCTGTGTAACCAATAGGATGCTGTTGAAATTACCTCCTTCATAGGTCATGGGGGCTTCCACCTTGCTTTCTTAGATTGATTGCTCCAGAGGAAGCCAGCTGCTATGATGTGAGCACACTCACGCTGTCCTCTGGAGAGGTGCAGGCGGTGAACGAGCTCGGCAGGCCCACGAGGGGGCTGTTCTGGAAGCTGATCCTCCAGCCTCCATCAAATGTTCAGATGAGACTGAAACCCCCAATTGACATCTTTAACCTCATGAGACCCTGAGCCTAACCAGCCCGCTCAGCTGTTCCCAGATTCCTAACCCTGTAAATTATGTGAGACGATAAATGTTTGTTTTAAGTCCCTAAGGGGCAATTTGTTATGTAGCAATATAGAACTGAGACAAATAGTAGTACAAAAATATTGCCTTAACTTACCTTTCTTTTGGAAATAAGATTTCTCTAGAATTCTAATTCAAGACTTTGTAATCTATTTTCCCATCCATATAGTTCTATGGAAAAGAAATTCTAGCCCTGGCTGGTGTGGCTCAGTGGATTGACTGTCAGCCTGAGAACCAAAAGGGTCAATTCCCACTCAGGGCACATGCCTGGGTTGTGGGCTATAGGCAACTTATTGATGTTGCTCACACATTGAGGTTTTTATCCCATCTTTCTCTCCTCCTTCCCCTCTCTCTAAAGACATATACACAATATCTTCCCCACCCCCCCCAAAAAAAGAAGGAGCTCTAGTCTGGCCTCTTAACATATATCCCTGCTAACTCCCCGCTGCTCCTTCCAGCGTACCTGTGTTTTAGCCTTCGAGAAGAGCCAAACGTGTGGCTCCCTGACTGTTCCCCCCGCCCCAAATCTTCAGTTGGTTTCTCCATCTCGCTCAGACAATCCAAGTCCTCCCAGACCTATGCGATCTGCTCCCTGGGGGCCTTGAGGCTGCTCTCCCACCACCTCCCATCCCTTCGCTCTGCTCTGGCCATACTCCCCTGCTTGCTCTTCCCCTAGGATATTCTTCCCGGATACCCGTAAGACCCTCTCCCTTCTCCGAGGTCTTTTCTCACATGTTACTCCTCAGGAAGTCCTGACTACTGCATGAGAGACCACCTTCCCCTCCCCGCTCTGGCCATCAGTGACTGCCTCTTGTCAGATACGTTTACCCACAACCCCCTGGCTGACCCTTCTCTTCCCCTCCTCACTACTACATAAGCTCTGTGAGAACAAGGATTTTGTTCTGCCATGTCCTGAGCATTGAAAACAGTGCTGGGCACAAAGACCCTCCTTTGAGAAAAGGAAGATAACATCCTTCTTTGAAAGGCCTCTCATTATCATTACCCATAGGATGTGTGCACCGAGGGTGGAGATGAGGGAGCTGGGAAGAAAGAGAATCCTAGTTGGGTTTTAAGAGTGAAATTAAATGTCTTGACTTTGGAGACCGCTATATAGAAACCAACCTGTTCAGAACAGCTCACCTGGAGGAGAAAAGAGATGATGTCAAGGATGATGATAACAAACTTGGTGTCCGGGATGGTGAGTAGGTTCACCAGCGGCTCCAAGACTCCCGCATGGATGAGCTGGATCAGCTGGCCCACGGTGCTCCCAGTCGCGAAGTTCGCCACAGTCCAGACAGCCTCTTTCTGGACTTTAAAATCTGCCTGCCAAAAGAGAGCCATTTACGTTCTCTACAGATCCTGAGGAACTTAAATATAGGGATGCTAACTTGGTTCAGTTTCTAGGGTGGCTGGGGACAGCCAGGACTGTATCTGTAATTTACACACAACACCTTGGGGACTTGTCTCTACTTCTTGAGCAGAAGACAGCATCTTTGAGCAGCCAGGAGGAAGGATGGCAGACTTCTCTGGGGTTTTAGAGGGAGGCTCTAGATTCAAATCGACTCATTTCATTAACTCAGGTTACGGAAGAATAGACCCAACCTTAATCAATCCAGGTAATTTATATAGATCGGGAGTTGTGCTTCACATGTTGGATTATAGAGGCCTAAGAGTACATTTCTGGTTTTTCTGCCCTCGTGAAACTTTGCATAAGAAGCTCCACAGCTACAAAGCTGAGCACACAGATGTGACCTTGGGGACTGGGACAGCTCTGTGGTTACAGAGGAAGGCCACTGCCTACCACTCAACGTACCCCTTGCATTTATAGAAAGCACCAGACTCAGAGATACGGGGGTAAAGTACCACGTACCCTTGTACTCCTAGGCAGAAGGAGTCATTCCCATTTTGTGGCTGGGGAAAACTGGACCTCAGTTTAAAACAAAGATCAAAACAACCTATGGTTCCAAGCAAGTTATAGTTCAAAAGGCATGGTTTGCAATAAGATTACTTCTTGATTCACAACTGGATGTTTCTGATTAGAATATGTGCAGACGCACCATGGAACACAGGATAGAAAGTGTCCAGTGGATGGGTGGGTGCTCTGATTGGGCTGCACACCTGGTCTAGTTTCCATTCCTAATGACAGCCTGGGAACCCGCCCTCCAAACTCAGAGCAGAAACACCTAAGCAGAAAACCACAGCTCATCCATTAAAGGTGACAGAAAGAAATGCTGGCGATAGTAGTTGTCCTGAGGATGGGAAGTGGGAATCAGAAGGAAAGAGGAAGCTTTCTTGTGTTTCTACTTTCACATTTGGATTTTCTGTGTATAGTACCACTTTAATCAAGGTGGCTTTTTATGCTGAAGAGGCGACCATTCTTCAGTATATAAGGTCAGCATAACCGGATATGTTTTTCCTCCTAAAACAAAACAAAACCTTCTTCTTCTTTTGGCAAGTAGAGAATAGAAGGCACATGCTTTTAACACTATTTACCAGCTCAAGGGTTTTCTGGATATTAGAGCTATGGGACCGCCTTTTGATTGAACAATGCTTGTTTAGTCTTACATTTTCTATGGATTGTCCAAAGCGGGATCCTACTTCCTCCCGCTTTATTTTTTTTGGGGGGTGGGGACACTAATATTTTATAGTTTTGTTGTGGCCTCAGTTCATGAGCTTCTGAGCCCGCGTCTGCACTCCAGCAGGAGCTCAGCATTAAGCCTGTGGGGAAGCAGCCTACTGTCGTGGAAACGGGTTGTGCCACTCACATTTTTCAGCAGAGCCACCAGGGGAGGCAGGATGTTGCAAGCAATGATCTGCTGGAGGTGCTGGGGGGGCCCTGCGGCCACGTTGCTCAGGGCCCAGGCCGCCTCCTTCTGGACGGAGGGCCTGGGGTGCAGCAGGAGCTGGGGCAGGGCGCGCAGGACGCCCGCGTCCATGGCCGCCTGCGTCTGGCGGTCCGTTCCCGTGACAATGTTCCCCACGGTGCGGAGAGAGGGCGTCTGGAAGAACAAGGCTCGAAGTGAACCAAGTGTTGCAAGTTCGTCACCGTGGAAGGCGACAAGCATGCAGAGATCTGTGCCCTCCCCGACACTGGTCATGCTAGGCGGCTAGCTCTCTAGAAGCCTGTGAACAATGACGACTTCCTTGACCCTCATTGATTCAGCACAGCGATGGCTGTTTATGTAGCTCAGGGTACTTGGCAGCTTCCCAGCAGCAGTGGCTCTAGTGGGATAGAGGTCAAGGGACCCCTTTGTCAGAAAAGACACTCTCCCTTTTCTATCCCTACCTCGGGAAAACGGCCAAATTGACTGTAGTGCTTATAATGTAATCATGTCTATTGAATTCATATTTAGCACCAGAGTCAGGTTTCTGTTGCATATATTATTGGAGCTAATATGCTCCTGATGGCAATTGTTGGTACATTGACAAGCTCTCTCAACGAACTCTGGTGGTTTCCAGGGTGGGTCTACAATAGGGCTCCAGACAGCTGTCCTTGGAGGGCTGATTTTGGATTTATTTTGGTTTCTCTGCACTTCAGTGAGAGAGAACAGTTCTGGAATTTTCCTAGCCTGTTATGCTGGGTATCTGCTACTCAATTAAGAGGTGGAAGTGGTGCTATGGGCCAGTCACAGCCTTGCCCGCCTGGCAGTTTGCCCCCAGTCCTCCAGGGCCAGCGACTTCTCGCAGATGCTCTTCTTCACACCCTCCCTGCTACCAGTACTACCTCCAAACACAACTTGACATCAGAGAAATACCGTGCTAATCTCAGAACAGAGGACCTCCAAGACTGCTTAAAATACAAGGTTAGGCATAGACATCAAAGGGGGCACCCACATTTTAAATGATACTTTCAAAAAACATATTATGTGACATGTTTCATAACATAGCAAAGTATTGGGTTTTGGTTTGACTTACTTTTCATCTATATCTGAGGTAGTCTTAGAGAACAAACTGGGGAGAGGATAAGAGGGAATTTTCTTTTATGTGTGAGTAAGGAACTCAAATGTTACATGAGCTTTACATTAATACACACACTCACACATGCACGCCCCATATCAGCCAACTTGTTAATGTCTATGCCCATAGACCACTAGAAGGTAAGGCCACTAAAGGATAGTTTGCTGGGTGAAGGGATTCTAGGCAATTTTAATTTGGTATTTTCTATAATTTCTAATGATCATATGAAGAGAAAGTGCATTACTTAATACCCACTAGGATCTGGGATCAAAATAAATTCAACTGTTTGGTAGAGAGTAGCAGAGATCAGGGCAATGCAGACGGTAAGCTCTGTTCTAGGTGAAGGATGAGAGCTGAGGGTGGAAACCAGGGGGTGGGGAAAGAACAGAACTTGCTAAAGTCAATATGACTCACAACTCTAATCGGAAGGCCTATGGAGAGGCAGATAAGGCCTGGGACATTTACCAACACGTTCAGTTCTGAGCTGGTCATGAGCTCGACCAGTCTGGGCAGCACGCCCACGTCAACCACTTGGCCAATGCGCTCATTGCAGCCTTCAGTGAGGTAGGACAGGGCCCAGCAGGTGTCAGAGAGCACCTCGCTGTCTTGGTGCTGCAGCAGGTGGAAGAGGATGGGCAACATTTGCTTCACGGCCTTTTTGCAGGGGTACGGGTTCTTGTTTCGGCACAGGTTGGACAGGGTCCACGTGATGTTCCGCAGAAATGTGATCTGTAACGAGAGACTGCTGCTAGCATCAGGTGCAAAGGAGGAAAAATGCAAATGGCAGCGTGTCCTTGCCACCTTTGATCAATATTATTGACCAGCATGAACCAAAGAATTTGAGCTACAAACAGAAATTTATCCTAGGTAGTGATGTATCTATAATAGGGACATGGAGAATGAGCTTTATGTTTCCTATTCAAATACTAGACAAAGGTTTCCTTTCCTTATATTCTTCAAAATGTCCTTCCCCACTCAACTCTGCGGATGACCTAATTTCTTTTTTCATTGGCGAACCACAGATGAAGCAGGAGTTCCTGGTGCTTCCCACCAGTCCATAACCAACATGTCATACCACATTTTTGATCTCGTGTTTGAGGATTAGTCTTCCTACCTTGCCTCTGAATTCCATCACTTTTCATCTTTAAAAATTCTGTCCCCAGGGCCACCTCCCCCTGCCCTCCCCCACCGGATCACTCCTGCCAGTACAGAGACACTCTGCAACCTTCACGCCTTACCCTTCACCTCTGCAGCCATCGCCCCACTTCTGGTTTTCAGACTCCACCCTCGAGGAGGCATCTGTACTCACTCTCTGCCTTGCAGCTTCCTGTCTGTGTTTCTACCCCCTCCTACGCTGCATTCCAACCCTACCTCTGTGTAGTTAGTGATGAAATCGGCTCTTTTCAAGTCACTAAACCCCATCGCTGCCCTCTTTACTGTTTCTGTCAGTTGTATTTAGTCACCAGTCATTCTCTTTTTGGCATTTGTGACGCCGAACCTGGTTTTTTATTGCCAAATGGGCTGTTTCTTCTCAGTCTTCTTGCCAGGTTCTGCCCAACTTCTGAGTGTCAGAGCCCGTAGAACCTGGTCTTGGACTCTCCCCACCCTCTCGGTCAGGGATTGGCCATGTTTTCTGTAAAGGGCTAGAGAGCAAATATTTTCAGCTTTGTGGGCCCGCAGGGTCTCTGTTACACCTGGTCAGCGCTGCCCTTGTAACGCTATAAAAGCGACAGACAATTATGCACGTAAGCGAATGGGCATGGCTGTGTTCCAATAAAATTTTATTAACAAAAGCAAGCCACTGACCTCTGCTCTAGATGATCTTGCCCAGCTGGACGACATACGTGTGTAAAACTATCTAGACCCGCACATCCATCTACCTGAAGCTGCTGCCATGGTTCCTTTCACTCACTTCAAGTTAATAGGTCCAACTAAGGCTCTGATTCTTCCCTCCCGCCCTCTTCCCCATTTCCCCAGGAGGACGGTCATGTAAAGTGACCTGACCCAGCCCCTGGGCATCCCTGCTTCCTTCTGTCTCTTCCATGTTTGCCCAGCAGCCTCTTAGGTCCGTCAGCTTCCCCGTCTCCCTCTGCTACAATCCTCCACCAAGCAGCCGGAAAGGGCTTTCTGAAAGATCAGACCGCTTTACTTCCTGCCTGGAGATCCTCCAAAGGCTTCCCTTTGCCACCAGGATGATGTCCAAGTGCCTTGTCCTACTTGCCATATTATACTGCTTTCTCCTTGAAAACTCTGTTGGTCATGCCAGTCTTTTTGTGGTTCAACCATGTCACCTTTTCTCCCACCTTGAGGGCTGTGTATACATTGCCTTGGCTTTTAGAGGCTGCCTTCTCTTCATTTTTATTTGCGGCAAAGCTAGAATGCAAATTTAATTTCTAATCCGGGGAGCCCTCTATTGTTGCCACATCGATCGACTTTGACTCCAGTCTTCAAACAAAACCTTATTACCAAGACCGGATCGCGTGAGCCACTGCTTCTGTCTGCGCCCCTGAATGGTAGCGCTTCGTCACCTAACGTTGCAGGATTGGAAGCTGGGAAAAACCTTAATGGACCTTTTCGAATGCTCTCGAAAGAAAGATCAGTACCACTGCTGGCTGACAACAAATCTGGATCAATTTCTACCCAAAGTGATATGCGGTCCTAGGCCTTGTTTATAATATCCATCATGAGGGGCGAGGCAGTAACCACGTGACCTAGCATTGATCTGGAAATACTTCCTCAATTTTCCAACTTTGGGAACTTGTTACCAGCTAGGTTTTCTAATTTAAAGACACCCGCTGGTACAGCTATTGGTAGGCGGAGGGCAGAGGGTGGAGGGATCAAGCCAAAAGGAAAAAGGACTCACGGACTCAGGGACATGGACAACAGTATGGGCGGCTGCAGTGGGGAGGGGGGTGTAAGGGGGTTTGATGATAATGAAAAAAATACATTAAAAAGATAAATACAGACAGACACTCACTGGTATGTTTGATGAGATCAGGGCCAGCAGGTGTGGGATGGCATTGCTTGAGATAACAAAGTCTCTAAATTCTGGGCCGTCACCTACAAATAGATAAGAACAAAGCATTGAAAGAGGGGACAAAGAGAATCCTGGGATAGGTGACTAAGTTTTAAAAGCTTGTGCAAAGGGTGGGAGGCCACAACGCACTCCTGGGTTGGGCATGTAGAGGAGAGCGTAGTCGTGAGCTAGATCCCGAGCCTCCAGGGCGGAGGCAGTGGATGGGCCTCGTGTGAACGTTGGCACTATGCCGCGGCAGCCGCCCTCCGCAGAGCCTGTGGGTGCACCCAGGAGCCAGCCTGTGGGGCCCTGGTGGGGCTCTCTCAGAGCTGACAGCATTTACAGCGTGGCTCTCGGAGACAAAGTCCACTGCAGCCCACACTGGCTTCCCAGAAGACTTGGGCACAGGGCAGCGGCTTCCAGATGCCACTCAGCACAGAGTTGGGGAGATGCGCAGGTGTTAGCCATCGGCTCTCTGTGACTGTGGCTAGAATACCACATTTCCAGACCCTGGAAGTCTCACTGTGTGATTCTGCAACCATCAGGCAAGGCACTGAGTTATATCATACCACCCAGTTTTGCCTGTTCCTTACTGAGCCAATCAAAACGAGAGACAAAGTCTCTGCAACAAGGGCTTTATTTCTGTAAGCATTTCAAAAAGCAGACGTACTTTATATTCCGTGTTTGCTTATCCCAACATCTGAAGTCTTTGGAGGTCTAATTGTACTGTTTGTTTCTGCTGACTCAGGGTGGGTTGTTGATTCTCTGACCTTGAAATTGCTACTATTTGGCCGATCTTACTTGGTCACAATCCTGAGAGGCCCCTTGGAGCTCCTTTCCCCCAGAGGGCACTGTATTTATATTCAGCTGGAAGTCGGGGAGTCTCCAGCCTGCAGCATGAAGCCCCCTGTGGCGCTTTCCTGGACCACACTGCACACACAGCAGCAAGTCCCAGACCCAGGGGCCGATCTTAGGATTGCGTTTTTGGGGAAGACTTTTACCCCAGCCTAAGGCAACGTTTTTTTGTATGTTCCCTTGGCAACTTTCTCTGGAGGTAGAACTTTTTTTTTTTTAGGGTCTGGGTTACATAAGCGTCTGTCAGAAGCTCCCACACTGCATGAGCCAAAAGCTTGTCCTTTGTTCCTGAAGCCACTAAGACGGAAGAGTGTAGGACCCGTTATTGGCAGGACGCCAGGTAGCATGTAGCTTCAGGACATACTGTGTTATCTCTGGTTTCAGCTTCCATGGACGGCCTCTGAACTTGACTCTGAATTTCTGAAGAGCCTGTTGTGCTTCCCCCAGCATTTCTAGGCATTTATATTTAAAGCATCGAGTCCACAGCACTACCCCAAGGACTCCCGGAGCACGCCCCATGGCCCGCCACTCTTTTCTTAGCCCCCGAGGGGAGGGCCTCACCTGCTATATTACCAAGGGCCCACACGGCCTGCTCACACACAGTCACGTGGGGGGAAGACAGGAGTTCAACCAAGGGCTGGATGGCGCCCCCTTCCACGACTGCGCGGGTCTGCTCCGAAGTCCCTGAAGCGATGTTGGTCAGAGCCCAGGCTGCCTCAAACTGCAAGCCGGGGTGGCGTGAGGACCTCAGGAACTCCACCAGCCGGGGAATGAGCCCTGCTTCGACAATCAATTTTAGTGGAGGGTTCCTTTCCCGGGACAGTATTTTCCTTTGCAGTGAAAGAGAAGAAACAAAAAACAGGTCACGTGAAGCAGGTATTAAGAACCTCCTCGACCGATGTTCCTGGCATTGCTAACTATCCCAGGAGGCAAACAGCTGGGTCAGAGCTACTTCACATCCTGGAGTTTAGCCTCGAGCGCTTTGCAGTGATGAAGCAACATTTCTCCTTCTGTATTATCTATCATGGAGATTCCTGTAGAGGCCGATTTAAATTAAGCAATTCATCTCTGACAACCTCTGTATATCTTAAGTTGTTCTCAAGGACAGTGGAAAGGAGACATTCAGTCTTACTTTTGGATGGACTACCCTTCTCCTATATTGCATGGGCATTTTGCCAGGGCCAAGAAACCAAATAGACCATCGGAACTCATTTCTAACTATGAACCTGTAAACAGCAGCAGTCTGTTTGGCCGTACCTGGCTGCCTGGGTGGCCTGTAAACATAGGACTGGATCTGAGGCATTCACACCGTTGATTATATCTTGCAGGGGGAGGTTGACCTGCAAGGAGACACATATTCAGGTCAGAGTCTCTGCCAAAAGGAGCCACGAAGGTCATCGAGTCCAGCCATCTGTCTGATTAGAGCAGGCTGGCTTGAGCAGCGCGTCCCAGCCTGCACGCTGGTCCCTCTTAGGGGAGGGAAGAGTATTTGCTGGTCTCAAAGGTCTCAGAGATCCCTGGGATACTCCTCGTGCTCTGGGGGAGAGGTAACACCTATCATCACTTGAACCCCCAGAACCGTTTTACAATGCGCAGTAGGACCATACAAGCAGATGTCGGCAAAAATGACAGTAAGGACCCCCCAAAACTTCTCTCCTCGATCAAAGCAACAAGAAAATGGACAATAGTCAGAATCAACTTTTACAGAGCTCTAGAAACTGACCAAAGGCTTGCAGCAGTTCGTGTTGCTTAAACTTAAAAGAGTTCATTCAAGAAAAACCCCTAGATCTCATAAGAACAGTGAGAATGGTGGCGTATTGCTTTGTCTTATTCCCACCGCACCCCCAGCTCCAGGCTGGCCTTGAAAACCAACCTCTCTGTGGCCACTGGAGTCAGTGCTACTGTAAAGTCTTATTCCCGTACTTATTGGACCTGTCTGGTAGTTTCCTGGGAGATCCCATTTGTAAGGTTTTCTTTATTTTACTTGACTCAGATATCACATAGTGCAAAGGTCTTTTCCCTGGGGGCTTTTGTTTTAAGACAATTAGAGGAATTTGTTCAACTTCACAGCTGCCTTTGGAAAGAGGGGTGCCGAGTAAGAGTTGGGGGCAAACAATTGACTAAGCAAAAAACTTAAAAGGAAAATCTGGGGAATGAGATGTTGTTTGGGGCTTTGAAAGCTCTGACACAGGCCTGAAAACCTGGGAGGCCGTGAGCGCGTACAGGCTGTGCCCGTGCTCACCGAGGACCGAGAGGCCCCCAGCCCGCGCCTCTGGCTGCCTGGGGGCTCTGGGCCGACAGGAAGTGATAGTTTGGGACAGGGCTGTCCGCTGCCTGGACGAGTGTGGAAGGCATGCCCCAGCAAGCACACAGACCCCTGGGCAAAGACTGGGTGAGCTTTCTGTTCCAAGCATTTAAGGAAATCTGTCCAATTATTAGCTGACCATTGAGGTCAGCGAGAACTCAGTGGCCACATGTAACAGAGAATACAGACGCTACAAAATTAGTTTGGAAATCACTGAACAAAGAACAACCTACAACAACAAAAAACTGGGCAAAAGGGCATCTGATATCCAAAGTTGCCACATTTTATTATTGAAAGTGATCAGTTGCCAAAGAAATTGCAAGACATGCAAAATATGGCATGTACATATGAAGAAAAAAAGTCAGTAGAACTTGTCCCTGGGGAGTCCAAACACTGAACTTCCTGGACAAAGACTTTAAGTATGTTCAAAAAAGTAAAGAAAACCATGTCTAAAGAACTAAAGGAAAGTATGACAGAGATATCTCACTAAATAGAGAATATTGATGAAGAGATATAAATTATAAATAGGAACCAGCTAAACATTCTGAAATTGGAAAGTACAATAACTGAAATGAAAAATTCACTGAAGGGGCTCATAGGCAGATTTGAATAAACAATCAGCAAGCTTAAAGGTGAACTGAGATTACCCAGTCCGAGGAAGATAAATAAAAAAGAACGAACATGAAAATTAACAGATCCTTGTAGATCTGTGGGACACTATCAAACATACCATCATATGATGCATAACAGGATGGAGAGGAGAGAAGGAACAGAAAGTATATTTGAAGAAATGATTGTCCAAAACTTCCCAAATTTGACTAAAAAATAATCTACACATTTGAGCAGCTCAATGAACCCCAAATAGAAAAAAACCAAGAGATCCACCCATAAACACATCATAATGAAACTGTTGAAAGCCAGAACCAAAGAGAGAGACTTGAAATCATCAAAAGAGAAGCAACTCACCATGGGCAAGGCCTCAGCCAGACTAAGAGGTGATTTATCTCCAGAAAACACGGAGACCAGAAAACAGCAGGATGACCTATTTTAAATGCTGAAAGAAAGCCTACTAAGTAAGGATGCTATATCCAGCCAAGTATAATAAAGAGGAAATTAAGACATACCCAGGTAACCAAAAATAGAGAGAACCCATTGTTAGCAAATCCGCTGTACAAAAAGAGTTCCTCGGGTACTAAAAAGTAGACAATAATTAAAATCACATTAAGAAATCAAGAACACCAGTAAAGATACATCCTGGTAAATATAAAGGAAATAAAAATATGATGATGTTTTTAATTTTAAATCTTTTTTATATAATTTAAAAGACAACTGCATAAAACAATAATTATAGATCTATATTGATGGGCACATAATGTATAAAAAGGGAACTTGTATGACAATGAGAGCAAAAGGAGGGGGAGAGAGAATAGGGCTTTATAGGAGTAAATTTTGTGTACTATTACAGGTTAAGATGTTAACTATCCCCAGGACAAAAAAAAAATTAAAAATACAGCAAAATAAACAACAGGGAAATTAAAATATTAAACTATTTAGCACAAAGGAAGATAGTAATAAGAAATAGAGGCACCAAAAGGACATAAGACATAGATATTAGCAACATGGCAGACATAAATCTTATTTGTATCAGTAATTACATATGTAAACACAGTAAACATTCTCAATAAAAAGCAAGGATTGCCAGAATGGATTTAATAATCATGATCCAACTATAAGCCTTCTACAAGAGACACTTTAGATTCAAAGGCACAAATGGGTTGACAAAAAAAAAAAAAGGATCGAAAACAGTATGCTATGCAAATAGTATCTAAAGAGAGTTGGGGTGGGTAAACTAATATTAGATAGAACAAACTTTAAGACAAAAGTTGTTACTAAAGACAATGACATTTTATAATATTTTGGCCATCAAAAAATATAAACATATACACACCTATCAACAAACCCTAAGTCACATGCAACAAAAATTAACAGAATTACAGAGAGAAATAGAGAAGCCAACAATAATAGGTGGAAACATCAAACCTCACACTCAGTAATAGGTGGAGCAACCGGATAGAAAATCAACAAGTTAATAGAAGACTTGAACAACACTGCAAATCAGCCAGACCTTACAGATATCTACAATAAGGCACAGCAAAATACATGTTCTTTTCAAAGGCACATGGAATGTTCATCATGATAGATCATGTGACATGGAACATGTCAACAAAGTTATAAGGACTGAAATCATGCAAAGTATGTTCTCCAACCACAATGAGATAAAATTAGAAACCAATAGTAGGGAAAAAAACTGAGGAATTCACAAATTTGTAGAAGTTAAATGACATACTCAAAGAAGTCACAAGGGAATTAGAAAAAACTTTGAGATGAATGAAATAAACACAACATAAAAAACTGATATGATGATGCTAAAGTGGAACTTAGGGGAAATATATAGTTATAAATCCATATATTAGAAAGTAGAAAGCTCTTAAATCCATAATCTAACTTTATACCTTAAAAAACTAGAAAAAATAAGAGCAAACTAAACCCGAAACCAGCAGAAGAAAATATTAAATACTAGAGTGGAAATAAATGAAATAGAAAACAGCAAAATGAGAGAGGAAATCAATGAAACCAAAAGTGGGTTCAAAAGAGCAACAAAAATGACAAATCTTTAGCTAGACTGACCAAGGGAAAAAGAAAAGACTGTAGTTATTAAAACCAGGAATGAAGAGTGGGGACATTACTACTAAACTTATAGAATAAAAAAGATTAGCGATTAGATAAACAAAGTATGCCAAAAAATTAGGTAATCTATTAAGGAACAAATTCCTAGGAATACACAAACTACCGAAAGTAACTCAAGAAGAAATAGAAAATCTTAATAGGCCTATAACAAATTAATTATTAATAAGTAAAAAGAAACTTCCACACACACACTAAAAAGACTAGGGAGGCCCAGATTGTCTTCATGGGTGAATTGTCCCAAGTATTTGAAGGGGAGTTAAAAGCAGTCCTTCATAAACTCTTCCAAAAAAATAAAAGAGGAACTTCCTAGTTCATTCTATGAGTCCAGCTTCACCTTGATGTCAAAACACACAAAGACATTATAAGAAAAAGTACAGACCAATGTCTCCCATGAAAATATATGCAAATATCCTTAACCAATTCTAGGAAACAAAATGTGTCAACATAAGAACAGGATTATACATCATGACCAAATGGGATTTAACTAAGAAATGCAAGGGTTGTTCAACATAGGAAAAATCAATATAATATACCATATTAATAGAATATAGAGAAAATAATCACATTATCATCTCAACAAATGCAAAAAAGAAAAACACAACCATCTGACAAAATCCGGCGCCCTTCTGTAATTAAAAAAAAAAAAAATCAACAAACTAAAAATAAAAGGAAGCTCCTTAAATTGATAAAAGAGCTACAAAAACCCCTCAGCTGGCATCATACCTAATAGTAAAAGACTTAAAGTTTTCTCCCTGAGAATCAGGAACAGGACGAGAATGTCTACATTTATTACTTTTTTTCAGCACAGTATTGGAAGGTCTAGACAGGCTAATTAGGCAGGAAAAAGAAAGAAAAGTCATCTGTATTGGAAATGAAGAAGTAAAACCATCTCTATTTGCAGATGTCATGACCTTGGATGTAGAAAATCACACACACACAAAATTTAGAGCTAATAAACAAGGTTCAGCTAGGTTGCAGGATCAACAAACAAAAATCAATTGTGTTTCTATACATTAGCAATGAACAATCCAAAATTAAAAGAAAACAGTTTTATTTATAGTAGCACCAAAAAATAAAATATTTGGTAAAAACTTTAACCAAAGTATACCACATATGCTGAAAATGGTAAATAAATGTAAAGAAGACCTGAATAAATTAAAAAATATCCCATGTTTGTGAATTGTAAGACTTAACACTGTTAAGATGGCAATACTCCACAAATTGATCTATAGATTCAACACAATCTCCATTGAAAGCTGACTTTATTGAAGAGGTTGACAAGCTGGTTCTAAAATCCATATGGAAATGCAAGGAATCTGGAATAGCCAAAATAATCTTGGAAAAAAAGCAAAGGTGAAAGACTTAAGACTTCCCAGTTTCAAAATCTACTACAAAGCTACAGTAGTCAAATCTGTGTTGTGCTGGCATAAGGAGAGACACGCAAATCAATGGAAGAGAGTTCAGAGCCCACAGATAAACCAACACATTGATGGTCAATTGATGTTTGACAAGGTGTTAAGATGATTCAATGGAGAGAGAATACTCTTTACAAAAAATGGCACAGGGACAACTGGATATCCACATGCAAAACAATTAAATTAGACTCCTACTGACTCCATTTACAAAAATTAATTCAAAATGGGCTAATTATCTAAATAGAAGAGCTAAAACCATAAAACCCTTATAAAAATAACAAAGGCTAAATCTTCATGACCTTGGATTAGACAGTAGATTCTTAGATACAATACCTAGAGGACACGTAACCAAAGAAAAAAGTAGGTAAATTGGAGTTTCAAAATTAAAAACTTTTATGCTTCAAGGATCCTATCAAAAAAAGTGAAAAGATGACCAACAGAATGGGAATACCCATTCTATACCCAAACTGAACTATACCCAAATAGTTCAATTCAAATATTTGCACACCATATACTTAGTAAGGATTTAGTATCCAGAATATATAAAGAACTTTTACAACAAGAGAATAAAAAGTCAAATTACTTGTTTTAAAATATGGGCAAAGGGTTTGAATAAACATTCCTCCAAGGAAAAGAAACAAAAAACCCAGTAAGCACACAAAAAACATGGTTGTTAGTCATGAGGAAAACATATCAAAATCACAAGAAAAGAACCCTTTGGATGCACTAGACAGCTATAATCCAAAAATGGATAATAACAAGTGTTGATAAAAATATGATAATGTACACTGGAGCAGTTACTTGGGAATAACAGTTTTGGCAGCATATTTCCTATTACTACTGTAAAATTGCCACAAATTTAGTGGCTTAAAACAACACAAACCATTCTCTCACAGTTCTGGAGGTCTAGAAATCCATAACCTGATTCACTGGATTAAAGTCAAGGGGTTGGCAGGGCTGTTTCCTCCAGAGGAAGCTTCTAGTAGGGCTGCCTGTGTGCCTTGGCTTGTGGCCCTTTCCTCCATCTTGAAAGCACAGCACACTAATCTCTGCTTTTGCCATCTGTCACCTTCTGCTCTGACTTGTCCTTCATCCTTCTCATTAGAAGGATTGACGTGATTACATTGGGCCCATCAGATAATCCAGGGTTATCTCCACATCTTGAGATCCTTAATTTAACCACATCTACAAAGTCCCTTTCATCATATAAGGTAACATCCATAGGTTCCGGGGATTAGGAGATGGAGACATTTGGCGGGGGGTGGGGAGGGAGGCATTCTTCTGCTTGCCACAGGCAGTTCCTCAAAGAGCTAAACAGAGTTACCCTATGACCCAGCAACTCTACCCCTAGGCATGTACCCAAGAGACTAGAAAACATGGTCAGGTAACAACTTGTATGGGAATGTTTATAGCAGTACTATTCATAATAGCCCAAATCTGGAAACAACCCAAATGTCCACCAACTAATAAATCGATAAACCAAATGTGGTCTATCCGTACAATGAAATATTATTCAGCCATAAAAGGAATGAAGGACTGATACCTGCTACAACATGGCTGATCCTTCAGAACAGTATGCTAAGTGAAAGAAGCCAGACGCTAAAAGTCATGTATTGTATGTTTCCATTTATATGAAATACCCAAATAGTTCAATTCAGAGACAGAAAGTAGATTCACAGTCACCGGAACCTCGGGGGACGAGGACTGAGGAGCAGCTGCCTGCTAGGGATGTGGTTGCTATCTGAGGCGATGCGTATGTCCTGAAATTCGCTAGTGGTGATGACTGTACAACCTTGTGAATATAGCCCCCAAAAGTGATTATATACTTTAAAAAGGTGAATTCCAAAGTACACGAATGATATTTTAGTTTTCTTAAAGTCATGGTGATTTAGGATAAACAGGAAAACAATGCTTTTGTTTCATAGTTTCATCTTTCTTGGATGGGGGGACTGTTAGGGGCTATTCTAGGTAAATGAAGCTAAGTAGGGTCATGGTTCACAGTCCCTAGGCAATTCAGAGAGTGGCCACAGTCACGCTACTAGATGGCCGGTCACCCATCATCAAACCCACTAGCCTGGACTGAAACCATCTCTGCCCTCTAAGATCGCGCAAGACACGTAGACCCAGCAGCTTGTAGACACAATGCCACTGGGGTTCTGTGGAGGGAAACCTCCTGGTCAGGGTATCCTGGAAAGGGTCACAAAAACCAGCATCGGCCTGGAAGTTAACCCAGGGTTTGTACCAAGCGAGGTCAGGGTGGACGGCGAGGGGAAGGCAACAGGCAGCACCCAAGACCTAGGCAAGACTCGCATGGTGAGGAACCAGGGGCCTCTGCTGAGACACACCCTTTGTGACCCTCATGCGCTGCTTCTGGCTGAGGGGTGGCAAGTGAGTCCTTCTCAATCAGAACCCACGTCCCAGACTCACAGTCCCAAGGGAAAAGGCCTTAGCTTTCTGACACCAGTTTAGCTCTAACTATGATCTCTCCACCTCTTTCCTTCAAGACCCCCCGCCATTAGAACTTGTGGTTTCTGAATCAAACATTTCAAGCCAGAGGATTTCCCTAAGGCCATATTTTACACGCAACTGCTGGAGAAGCGCATTCCCAAGGTACCTGGTTGGTCCCTTCTTTAGAAGCTGGGTCAGTGGAGAAACTGGTGATGTTTCTTCTCTTTAAGACCTGCTCATCTTTCTTGGCCTTCCGGAGCTGCAGGCTGACTGCTATCCGCTGCTGCCGCCTCATCTGGTGAGGGAAAGAAAGAACTGGAGTGCTGAGGGCTGGGGAGTCAGGCTGTTGCCAAGTTAGCCTTTCGAGCACGCTTACAGCATCTGCCTTCACTTTCCAGATTCAACAGGCTGGAAGGGTTAAGATCACAGAGCTAGCAAATAGCTCCAGCTTGGTTCCCCCTCCTCTGCTTTCTCCTACTATGCCACATCTACAACAATAGCTCATCTTCCTCCAAAAATAAAGGAAGATCAGGCACCGCCCGCCCCCCGACCCCTCGAAACAGGCCAGGATTCTCAGCTGTAGTATTTCTACCTGAGCCAAGCACATCTTCACTGGTGCCCATGGGTTCCCGAGGAGCACACCTGGGCCTTCCAACTGCAGGGACCCAGGTGCAGCTGTGAACAGGCTGCTAGGGTCCAGATGTCCCCGACCCCGTCCGCTGAGAGGGAATCCCTCCCCGGGTCATTCAAATCTCCATCCAGTCCCAAGGGTTTTATTTGACACCATACTGAGGGAGATTAAAAATTTAAATAAAAACAACTCTTATATCAAGCAACACTCAGGCTCTATAGTACGGAGACTCCCGGAGAAATGATCTAACCTATATGGATAGATGAGTTTTAGGTTGAAGACTTAAGGATTCATTTAAGAAGGTTTCTAAGTATTTGATACTTCTGGTTCCTTCCAACATGCCATGTAATTCTTGTTGGGAAATAGGGTCACTGTGGTGTTTACCCAGCAAGGCAGGAACAGGTTAGGGGTCCACTGAGCCAACCGTACCGTTGCTCCGTCGCTAAGTGGCCCGTCCCTGTACATTCCCGCTGCTCTCCACCTAGAGGGTTCAGTTCCTTTGTTCTAACTGGTTTCCTTTAATCTGCGGTGGTCTTGGAGTCGGACAGCCATGCTTGTTGGAGAGGGGGTGAGAGTGACGTGACTCCGGATGGTGCCCTAACCAGGGGGCTCCTCCCACCCTCAGCTGCCGCTCAGGTTCCCCAGGTGTACGCCATCACAGTCAAAACACACTGATGTAGGATACAGAGCTAGATGCCCAAAACTGAACTCAGGAGAGTAAGGGTTAGAATCCACACATGGCTCAGGCTCCCTGCCCCAGGCTCTTGGGCTCAGCCCAGCAGCCAGAAGAAGAGTCTGAACTTTTCAGTTCCAGGTCCTGTTTCTACCAGATGTGCCTGTTGGCCTTTAGCACCTTGGTAAGGCTCCTTGACATGAGTGGCTGCAGTTAAGCATCTATATGCCATGCACCGAGGCTGCTATCCAGTCTCTAAGAGGGAGGCATCAGCCCTGCTTTATAGATGAAGAAACTGAAGCTCTGAAGTCGACAGTTTCAAGGTCACAGGGGGACCTTGATTTGAGTCTGTAGTTGCCTGACTCCTAAGTCCTTGAGCTTTTGCCCTCCTCGCTCGATGTTTTAGTATGAAAATTTCTAACATGTGGAAAACTTGAAAGAAGTATTTGGTGAACACCCATGCACTTACCACAATGAACATTTTGCTTTATTTGCTTTGTCACTCTTCTCCCCACCCCCACTCTATTTTTTTTAAATCCTCACCCAAGGATATGCTTTTTTTTTTTTTTTCCATTTATTGATTTTGAGAGAGAGAGAAAAGGAAACATCTATGTGCGAGAGAAATGTGAATCGGTTGCCTCCCACACACCCCCAACTGGACCTGCAGCCTGGGTATGTGCCCTGACTGGGTCTCACACCCACGACCCTTTGGTGTGACGGGATGATGCTCCAACCAGGGGAGCCACCCGGCCAGGGCCACTCTTTTGGCTGCACTTCAACCATGTGCTTTTACTGCCCTAGTCTTTGACGGCGTGGGACGGTTGGCTCATACTCACAGATGCATCTTTGCCTCGGTACTTAAATTTTCTCAGCCTCTCTTCTGGAGCTTCTAAAGTCGGCATGTTGACTGGAAAAAGTAAACCACCTGTAGGTAGGACAGTTACAGAGAGACTTTCAGTGCCCAGTGTGTGGGTTACTGTGTTAAAGCCCCCCAGGCTCTCAGCTCTTAAAGGGCTCACAGTGGAATGGACAGCAGACTCAGGAATCTGCTTCCGTGGGCAGCACCACGCACGCCAGCGCCACAGGTGACGAACGCTGTGGGCACTCAGGGGCGACCAGTCTGGGGCTGCAGATGGAAGAGAAAACTTTCAGAGGCAGCTGGGCTTGCACCGGGCCTTGGATTGGCTAGGGTAGCTGGAAACAAAGCCCTGGACCGTTCCACATGGCTGTGTCTAAGGAGCTCCATTCAGAGCGTAGACGCAGGATGGTAAGGAGCCCACCCAGCCTGTGGTGGGAGATGGCCCTCTCTTCCTGCACCCAATCCGCCCGATGCGTTGGGTTGGGACAGCCTCAAGCATGACCACTCCTTTTAATTCCTTAGTAGGCTGCCCTCACCCCTCACCAGCCCCCCGTCATCTTTCAGCCACGCTAGGCAATTGCTCCCCACCTGTCCTCCTTGCTTCTACCATTGCCTTATTCTAATCTGTTCTCTGCACAGAAGCCATGTGATCTGAAGACAAGAATCTGGCCATGTCATGTCTCCCACTTAAAACCCCCCTCCTGGCTACGCATTGATGTTAGGAGAAAACTCGAATTCCTGGTGACGCCCGGCATGAGCTGGCCCCAGCTGCTCCCCGCACCTGCCAACGGCTCTCTCCCACCCAGAGCCTAAGTTCTTCCCACTGAGTTTGTTTCATTTTCTCCACCGCTTTTTACCACCGCCCAATGTTTTCTTGTTTCTTGTGCATCTTCCTTCCCCTGCTCCCAATGACAACGGGACCATGTGTGTCTTTGGCACAATCCCTCAGGCCCATTGCAATGCATGGCACATAGCAAGTAGGTACTCAGATTTGTTGGATGATGGTGGTGGGTGGGTGATAAGGTCACCAAGCGAATTGTCCTTCAATTAGAGGACGTTATTAAAATCAGACTAAGTCTGAACTTTCTACAAGGCCACAGGGAATGACATTTCTTAAAGGTATATAATAAATGTTTCCAAGTATACAGAATAGGCAAGGCTATGCTGTAGAAAAGAGAAAGTTGGATCAAGGAGACCAGAGTCAATTACTCTGGTCTTGAGTATATAACAGCTGAGGATAATTTTGGTGGGCAAGGCTAATTTAGGCATGTCAGTTTGGAAGGCAGCATGTAAACAACTTGGAGAATTCCATAAGTGAATAGAGAGACAAGGCTGATGTCTTAAGAGGAGAGATGAGCTCTATGAGAAAAGACCAAGAACTAAGTCTTGGTGATACTCATATTAGGGCCCAAGAGAATGCTGAGCCAGCAAGAGACCAAGAGGACGAGCAGAACTGGAGACGGAACAACAGGATGTAACCTCAGAGGCGCTACTGGTAACAGCTGGCTGCTAGGCCAGGGACAAGTCCCGAGACTAGAGCACCACCAGCCACAGCATGTCAGCTGTGCTTTGTTGTGGTGACAGTGCCGATTTTAAAGCATGTCTCCTTAGGAGCTTGAGCAAGAATAGCCTACCACTTGTCTGCAAAGCCGCAAATGAAACATGCAAATGCAACATGCAAATGACTTCCTGGAGTTGACCTGTTCCTCCCATCCGCCCCAGCACAGCTGGGTCCAGAGTGGGTGGTGACACATGGTTCAGAGGAACAGTAAGGAAGCTCTTGACCCTTCTGCCTCCTGCCCCCCCCACCCCCCCACGTTGAGTGCAGGGGCCTTCAGTGGCTGTATATTTAACAGAAGCACCTCCCAGAAACTGGCTTAAAACAATCTCAGGCTTTAGATTAGTTCCATTTAGAGTTCAAGCGGGAGGTGGTGGTACTTCCAGCAGCACGTCAGAAGCCAGCAGCAAGCACGTCAGGAAGGGAGGGAGGGGATCTGTGTTGCAGGACAATCTCAGCCCTGGGAGCTCGGGCCGGAGGGTAACCACGTCCTATCCCTCCCCCTACTTTCAGGTTATCGCCAATTCTGCCCCAAAAGGTAGAAAAGTAGTATTTTTTTAATGACTGAAAGGTGAATCATTGCTATGAATTCTGACCCCCTTTAAATCGCCATCCCCAAAGAGTTTTCCAGTTGCTGTAATAACCAGCTTCAAGTGGACGATCAGAGGAAGTCTGAGATTTGGGTTTAATGAGAAGCCCTACCCTCTATCTCCAAGAGAGAAGACAGATGGCTTTTTACAGGCCTGGGGCGGGCTCGCCTTATGGGCCTATTTCAGGGGCAGCGGCCCAAGCACACCGATCACACGTCGGCAGTGCTGCGCACCTCGGAGTCCGTGGAGCAACATTAATAGGGAGGTTGAGTCCCATTTTGCAGGTGGGGAAACCGTCTCAGACATCATTCCCCAGCGAAACCCAGAGTTCCCACAGCTGTTACACATCAGAGCCGGGACTCCAGCCTGGATCCGTCCAATTCCTGCGTGGTGCTTTGGATCACTAAGCTTTGCAGCAAACAATCTGAACACAAGGGTCTGGTTAGGAAAACACCAAGTCACCACCGTGGCGCTTAACATGTGGGGTGAGATGTCGGAAAATAGGAAAGCAGGTGTTTTAGGCAACGGAAGCCGTGGAGGCCACCGCATTGCTGTCTCACCTGCTGTGAGTGACCCGCCAGCTCAGCTCATGAGACGGAATGTGCATCAGAGGGCAGTTTGGTACAAGGAGATAAAATGCCTCGCTCTAGGACCATTGCCATGGGAACCATTCATCCTTCTGCCACATTCCAGAAGGCATGGCCACAAGGAAGCTTGGAGGTGGCGCCAGGGGTTCAGATGGCTGCCACATTCCTTCAAATCAGCTACTGAGGGTGAGGTGGCATAAGCAGAGGGGGGCGCGCCCTCCGATCGGACAGGGTTCTCTCCTCTCCCTGAGGCGTTTTGAGGGAGCAGTTTGAAAGTCATGGATTTGGCCAGACCACTGCATTTGGAGACTTTCTGCAAAGCCAGCTGCAAAACAAACCCTCCTGGCTTTCACAGCCTCTCCAGTCACAGCTCGGGGTGGCTTCCTTCCCTCACACTGCTATTGGCAGCATCCGGGGGAGCTGGCTACCCCGTTCTCCTTTACCGGCAGCTTCTGAATTTGAGCTCCCGAGAAAGCCAGGCTGGTTATGTAGGCAAATGCCGCCAAACTACAGGGCGTTAGCCAACGCCCCCCCCCCCCCCGCAGCCCCCAGCCTCAGGCCAGCTCTGCTGCTCCCCATACAGACCCCTGCCCTGGCTTTTGGGGGCAAAACCAAGCCAAGGGTGGCCAAGTGTCATTAATGGTCCCAAGTCACTTTTTCTGGTCAGGGCATTACAGGACATGTTGGGTTTTTCCTATGCATTTCTCTATGTAGCCAAGCTTTGACTGAGAGCATCTTTCATGAACTGAGAACTGTGTTAAATTAAGATATATTTCAACATCCAAGAGTTGGCTTCCCTAAAGCAGTATTTTTCTATTTTAAATTAACACAGCCTTCAGGAATGTGCTGAGCGTTAACTCCCAGTCACCCCACTTGTCCTCCAAGTTAACCTTTGAATGCTCCACCACCGTCTCCACGCCCCGGCGCTCTGCGTGTGCGCGGAGGGGCCCGGCTAATTACAGACGGGGAACTGGCTGCACGGTTTGGGGCCATGTTTCTCCTCTTCGCCTGTACTGTGGACATCTTTGATGACTGTATGTTGAGATCTATGTCACTAACAGACACTTTTCAAACAAAATAGCATTTGTTTTAAGCTAAAACTACACGAGGGGCTGGACCAAGGCTTACTCTCCAGGAAGGCCTGAGCTGGCCGCGGCTCCCAGGCCTGCAAGCAGACACCGCGGGCCGGGTGGGGGCGCGGGCGGGGGTGGTGGGCCCTTTGGCTCCCCGCAGGGCTTCGCCAACGTGGGTACGACATGTCCAGTCACCCCGTTTGATGCAGCGGGGCCCTCAGCCAGGCCTCCCTCCAGGGCTCGCGCTGGCCTGGAGGGCAGGCACGTGTCACGGCAAGGAAGGAGGAGGAGGCCAGGCCCTCTTCCCAGTGACCGCACCTCCCGGGCTTGGGAAGGCTTTGTGGGAGGGTCAAACTGGGTGCCAACTCCCTCGGGTGAAAAAGTCAGAGGGACAGCCCAGGGAGAGGCAGCATAAGCAAAGGCACGGGCCACCCAGGCCCGCTGGCTGCTGTGCGGTCACAGGGGCTTGGCGCATCCCGAGAGCTCCCACCTGGGCTCTGCAGAGTAGTAAATGGACACCCGCCGTCTGCCACATCCTCCTCACCCACCCTGGAAACAAGCCGGGGCCCCCAGCACAGTTTCCGTAAAACGAGGCTGCATTCAGCGAGGCGTCGCCCAACAGAGGCCGTCGGGGAGCCGCTGGCTTTGGGGAGAGCACGGCCGCAGCACCTGGCCAGGGGCCCCGCAGAGCTCTGCGGCTCATTACCTGAACAAGAGCGAGGCACCGCGTCAAGCCCTAGAAGGAGGGCTCAGGGAGCACACAGCCACCCCAGGCGCCCCGGGCACCCTCACGCACGGGGACGGCCACCACCGCTGGTTACTCACTGGGCAGGGAGCTGCGGCCTCCACCCCCCTGGTCGGCCTTAAGTGCCCTCAGCGGGTGGCAGGTGTTTTGGGGCATCTGGCCTTGCCTTGCTGGGTTGGTTTCTGACTTAAGCCAATGGTTCTCAGCTCTGGGTGCATATTGGAATCACGTGAGTAGCTCTGAATGCGTTGGGCCGGGGCCTTAGCCCAGAGGCCGAGTTGGTCTGGGGGCAGGGGGTGGGGGGCTGCAGGTGACTCCCCTGTGCCGATGAGGCATAGACATGGGCCTTCAGGCTCTGCAGCTGCAGCCTTTTGAGACCCTCAGCTGGACTATTAAAGGTGAGGGGCAGGGGAATCTCCCTCCAGGAAGTGTTGCATTCTGGGTGTTTAGAGTTCTAGGGTGGCTAGATTGAGAGGCCCCTTTGTAAAAT